GCTGAACAGTGGCAAACTCCAACTCTTGAGTTAATTTCTTTGATTCAAGGTATAACTGCATAAACAACAGATTTGAATTACATTTTACTCCAGAGTTATTCCAGCTTTCTCTGTGCCCCAGTTTCGATGGATGCTGAAGTGTCCCCTTTTGCTGAAGAAGTGGGAAAGTGGTGCTGTACAGGGACTTGGTGCTGGGGTATCTTCATGTGCCATTGCACCTTCCCTGCTTGCAGACAACTGGGAAATTACCCTAACCCTGTTTGCAGAGTCACGGCTGCAGGGGAAGAGGGCCTGATGCCACATCCAGATACATGAGCTGGGGGCACTGGTGCCACCCTGCTGAAACCCAGACAGACCATCCTTGTGCTCTGCCCAGGCAGTGGCATGAGCCTGCATGACGAGCCAACCCATCTGCAACTACTCTACCAAATTTAAGCATTTATAGTTGAAATTCTTCCTGATATTTGTCCATTCTTCTATTACTTCTTTTTTTTTTAACACTCAGTGGGGAACATTTCAAATAATAAAGACAATAAAAACCACTGTATTTTTTGCACAAACAGGATATATGCATAAAAAAAGGGTAAAAGCTGAGCTTTGACCAGGTGCAGTGCTGTGTAGTGCTGAATTCATAGAATCCCAGAGTGGTTTGGGTTGGAAGGGACCTTAGGGATCATCTAGTTCCAACCTCCCTGCCATGGGCAGGGAATTACACCAACATGTCAGCCTCAATCCTCTCCTTTCAACCTGTGCAGTAAAATCGGGACATTTTAGAAATCATTCTCCCCCTCCATTCCATATCTGTAAAAGGTCACTGCAGCTGCACAAGGTCCTTCCGAAAATTAATGCCTGTGACACATTCAGATGCCATCAGGATGTGCCGCTTCGGAAGACCCTGCAGGGCAGTAACTCCTTCCATCTTTAGACCAGACCTTTAATACTGCAAAATAAATCAGACATCAGGCCACACACTGAACAGTGAGGTTAGTGCAAGACATTAAAGAGCTGCTTGTACTGAACTGCATCCTTGTTCAGGGCTAGGTGGGTATATACAATGTATTTAATATATATATCTACATATGTTGCACTTTAACAGCAGGTCCACTCCTTCACTGGAGCCAAAACCTGCCCAGCGCAGGACTATGTGTGTTAAGGACATATTTTGATACATGCCCAGTGTGCTGCATTAGCTTAGACGTCAGCATCGGTGCATTTGCAATGTGGGCAGGCTGGGCTCAGGGCAGAGATCCTGCTCCTATCCCTGTTCCGTCTCATCCACCCTGCAGAGTTTTGCTGCAAAACACTCCACTGAGCTATCAACTCCCTCCTAGAAATACCTGGCATCCCCTGTTGAAAGGAGTCTGACTTAAACCCCCCACCCCCCTTGTGTTATTTATTATGGGCTGCACTGAGCTGTGGATGTTTGAGGGGGAGGATAAAATTAATTTCCCAATTTTTGCATTTCCTAATTTTTGCACGCTAGGCTTTTCAATATAAAGCACATTTTTAAAGGGAGGAGTTGACATATTATTTATATAGCTATGGATTTTTGAGAAAAATATGCTGTTGCTTTCTGCAAGAAAGAAAAACAAGCTTTTAGACGTGCTGCTGTAAATGGTGCTTTGAACCCTATTTTGAAGTGGGAAAAAAAAGAAACAAAACCAAACACCAAAGCAGAAAACCAAAAATGCATTAATGGTCTTAAATTCACAGGTTTTGGAGAGGCAGATCAGAACAAGGGATGGTGCTGCAGCAGAAACTAATTTGGCTGTTCAAAGCCTGGACCATAGATACATCCAGGGTGTTGGAGACCTGCGAGGAAGAGTAGCAAGGTAAGGAATGCATCACGGCCCCTGTTTCCGTCTCTGCTAGTCGGTTTGTGCAGAGCAGATTCAGAGTGGGCAAAAATGTACTTTGCACTCATTTTACATCTCCATTTCAGTGCCAGATCTGTGCTTTCATGCTCTCCATATTAGAAAATTATCAAGCCAGGGAAAAATAACCATATTTTCCTGTCTCATTTTTTCATCGCACACTTGAGGAATATTTTTCTTCTCCAGTCTGGCTTGGCTTCAGCTGAAGTGGTTGTTTCCTCCTACTTAAACTTTCCTGTTGTTTCAATAAAAACTTTACTTCCTCTCTTGGAAAGCTGGTCTTGTTGAGCAAACGTGATTTCTTCCATTGTTGAGATTACAAATTTTCATTGGTACAAGTAATAGCACTTACGTAACATAGATGGACTTCTGTGGGCACCCTGTAACACAAAGTATTATGACTGAAAGTAAAACAAAGTGGAACTCAGCTGTACAATATCAAGAGAGCACATGGATTAAGAGCTGTCTGAACTGATACATCAGAAAAATAAAACAAATTTAAGTAAGAAATCTCCCTGAACTGGCATGTTTCTAATGTTTTTTTGTTCCTCCAGAAGCCAGTCATATGCTTTTTATGTAAAACACTGTTATTGACATTTGTGGATGACAGAAAAAATCAGTCAAGTGAAGACAAAGTGGTAATAGAGAATAACTGGAATTATTGCCAATGTGGGCTGATTGAGAAAAAAATGTACTTTATAAACCCAACAAGAGACTGTTTCACTACTGAGTGCCCCCTGAAAAATTTGGGGAATGCAGCAGGTAGATAACTTACTGTGAGCTCTTACAGTGATATAGCATCAGAAATGCTGGGAGGACATTTTTGGACAAGAGAAGCAGAGGACCAGCAGATAAGGAGGATGTTTTAGCTCTATGTATAGCACAGCGATTGGTGCCAGAATACTGCACTGAGCCCAGAGTACCATTTCTGAAATTAAACACTTGGTACGGTGTAAAGAAGAGCCAGGAAAGTGATGGTGGGGTGACGAAAATTTCTGTCTGAGAGAAGCATACATCTATGTATAGTTCATGTAAAAAAAAAAAAAAAAAAAAACAAACAAAAAAAACATACAGAGTTGTCTTCATTTCGATGTATAGCTACCAGGAGAGAAAGGAAAAAAATCACAAGGTACCGAAGGACTCCAAACTACTTTAGAGAGACCCAAGAATTTAAAACGAGAAGCTGAAGCCAAGATATTCAAAGTTGGCAGGAAAAAGATTCAGTTTTTTTAATGTTGTGGCTGATTAGTATTGGAATGAAGTGGGAGGTGATCCTGCAACATGGGTGAAGTGTCTCACTCCTCTTTTCCCAGTGTTTTCCTACCTGTGATGCTTCCTTTCATCAGCTGCACTGGGGCTTGCTCCCATCCTCTGTGCTTGAGTATTTGCCTGCAGCAGAGTAAAGCAAAAGCACGTGGGGAAAACAGGGTAATTGTGGGGGAAAAAATTACCAGTCCAGTTCTACTTGTGTGAAGAAAAAAAATAAACAGAAGAAACAAGGGGTCGAGCACTCATGGAGGTCCACAACAGCACTTTTTTTGAGATCCCTCTTCCTCTTCCTTCCTTGCCCATGTTTTGGTTGCGCTGGTTGGCCTTTCGCATGGCAGAAGGAAGGATCCCAAAACACACATCTGCAACTGCACACAAAAAACTATCAGGAAGGCACCAAAGTTGTAATTTTATGGTGCTGGAAACTAAGTCCTTAGACCCCATTTGTTTTTAAGGAGACAAAAAAGATAAAACAGTAGGTTTTCTGGCTTCACCAAAAAGCTAGAGCTGGCATTTTAGCAGCATTTCAATGACACTATTATAACACAGTTTTATGTGAATGATTGCCACTAAACTAAAGCACAGTATAGTATTACGTGATTCGTGAATCATCAGCACTTTCCTGTGTTTCCTG